TATAATAGTATAACAGCACAGCTGCAGACAAGAGCGGCTCTCTGACGACGGACAACCAATAACCTTGCGAATTTCAAATATCCTCATGTGGGACAAACGGCCTGCCTCTTCATTGAAAAACCCACAACTCTATATGAGCATGGCTTCTACACGAGCAGATCGGAATTCGGTAACGACTGACTCACTTCCATTAGCCAGTAACAAGGTCTAGTACAGTGAAGCAAATTACTCCAAGAAATTCCACATGAAATTAGGTAGTTTATTGGACACTTTTCTGCATGCAAATGAAAGCAAAAAGTTATCAAAACTCCAGTCACCTCACAGAATTTTATGTAAGCCAGCAGCACACCAGAATATCATAATGCGCATTGTCCAGTGCTGATCAATAACCCCACACAGCTCTCCGTGAGGCGCATTTGATGATTCACCCGGTAGTGCCGATATGCCTCGTGGTCTTAATTGCACCAAAATGAGTTGTTTTTGAAAGCAGAGTATTTAACGCTCCACCTTCCAGTGAGCTCATACTAAAGTACTATCCCAACCACAAAATGCTGTACGCAGCATGAATTTGAAATGATTATGCGTTTTGTCGAAATATGACATTTGCCACCTCACTCCAGGTTGCAGCAAGATGAAAAATCATAGTTTTGAACGTTTTTTGTCTTTCATTGAGTAAAACATTTAAATGGTTTAACTCAACATATTATAGCTGGCATGGAACAAAATAGGGCCTTTTCAAATATTGCAATCCGAATGTTTGAATAGCTGTAAACCAATAACTCACCCTATGTTCCAGACAAAAATGCGGATATATGCTCCTTACCTGGACCTTTGTGTCCCGGTGCGAATAAGGCGCTAACCAGTCCTTGGTTTACACTTCCACGTAACATTTTTATAACGATTCAAAATGTAGGCTTAGTGAAATATACTGATCCTCGTGAAACGTCTACGTTTATATTTCAGTTTCGTTTGGTTACAACGGACTCAACTAGTGAGAAATATTCGCAACCTTCGTGAAGTTAGTCGTTTTCGAAGTTGCCGCTTTTCGGATGTTAATAAACTAGCATATGGTCCGAAGCTGTCCCCCTTGGCCCAGAGGCATAAGCTGCTGACTGGCGGTTCAACCAGTTAGTGGTCACGGGGTTCGAATCCTGATGGATCCGATGGATGCGCAATACTGACGATGCCCAAAAGGCTGAAACTGCAGTCTAGTGCTTTTCCGGGAATGTGGACGACTATATGATTTGAAAACTGGCTGCGAAGAACCTCACTTAATATTTTAATTCCTGTTCATACAAAAATACGCTTGGAAAGGGTGGGACAGGAAATAGCAATTACTATCCATTATATACTTTTCAACTGAAATAGGTGAAATATACAATTAGTCTATCAGATTGGTCTGCTAAATGCTTTGAAAGGACAAGAAAATCATCATCGTCGACATAACTGGAATTTACAGCCATCATTCGAGCATGTATGTCCGAAACGAAAGGTGGGTATATAGTACTGCTCGTTGACTAGTAAAGTTTCCTTGTGTACTCTCAGCATTAATAGAAACCAGATATAGCATTACGAGTTTGCAGACGCCGCCTTAAACTAGACAGCTCACTCACTTATCCAGTACGATGTTTATCTGCTTATATTGGACAAAATCTTTTGCGCTTCCTGAAAAACACTATATCAACGCCAATGTGTCGCTGCTTATGTTCACCATATTATTTACATTAAAATTAAATATGCTAGTGCCAAGGTATTAAATTGCAGTAAACATTTGTATTCATTATTGAGGAGCTTTCTATCGCAGACTTATAGTATTGTTATCTTAATGGCCAGAAAGAACCGTGAAAATTTTGTTCATCTTGAATGGGTGAACTGCTGCTAATCTACTTGTAGCTAGGTACCTACAAAATCTTGTAGGTCATAGTGATGGAAGATTTTATTTCATGTCGGAGAACAAACTAGGTTTTTTCAACGTGCGCCTGTGCTGTAGTATTCTGACAGCACTTGCCAGTTTGCTAAAGATTTCGAAAGTGGAGAGGAATATTTTTCTCGATGCTCCGAGGGTGATATGGTGTTTTCAATATGACCTTTGCGTCAATTAAGTTACAGAGGCTTCCATTTAGTAAAACCACAGAAGCGAGCGTGGTATTTCATTGAATTAAGGACACTTCTATACAAGAATGAATACGGAAGAGTTTGCATATAAATTGTTAGAATATTTTATATTGGCATCAGCTAATTGCTCAAGACATTGGTTATTTGAATGATTCTTCTGCCAACATATAGAAGCACATGTGCCTTTCACATAACTCTTCTTCAAATGTGACCATTTTATTTGCCTATATATAGTCCGTTAATCCTGAAAAACAGATGGTATTCTGTAGACCGATGAAAAGCAGCGTATTCATTCCTGCGCTGATGAAATTTCACACCGGCCTATGTGCAGAACACGTGCCATCGAAAAAAGTTGACTATTTCCAACCACAACAGTGCGTACATCCATTGTGAAATTCAGTCGCGAGTACCACTTTCGTTGCTGTGCTCGGACTACTTCGCAGTTTTGACCATGAATCCTAGTTCCTATGAAACTCTACTCAAGTGTCAACTAAAGCGATAGAGAGTTGAGGTTGATGGAGGGCAACAGTGGCTTGAATGCAACAGAAATTTCAGTCGCTTATGAAGTTGCTCAAGCTCAGCCACAAACGTAACCACTTCGGCCCCGTGCATTGTGTCACTAAAACGTTCACATATGAAGTAGTACCAAGTCGATAATAGTGCAGGTAAGCAAAAATAATTCACTTATTCTGAGTTTTATTTTTATCTTCCCCTGAGTTTACTTTCCTTCATTTCAAGCCATACAGAATCTTACATGCTAAGTACACAGCATTAATTATGCAACATATGTGGTACCGTTAATTAAATGTGGCTTAAGAATGGCCAGGTTAGTTTTACATCATTCCCTGGCAATTTGCTAGTATTTAATACTGAAATTTCTTGTTGGACTCAATACTAAATAAAACTAGAATATTGTCAAGAGTGGTGGAATATATTAGATCAGAAGCGTCTACCGAACGCTATACCCCCTCATTCACATTACGTAGGCAATTACTGCAGGCTGCTTCCGGTGTTGCTCATCAAGGAAAACATAGTAGCAACGTGACTTCTAAATTTTCCTGCGAACAGGAAGCACACATATATCTAACCGTTTCCAGCTTACGTTTTGTTTACTCCAGCGTCTGTCACTGACGCTGGGCTATTTGCATTCTCCGGATGCGTTTGGCAAAACATGGTATTCTTCGTCCCACAGCGTGAACCGTGAATTCGTCAACTAGAAACGGATTTCGCAAAATCCTACAAACGAAACCCGTTGTGAGTTGCAGTTCCGGGGACTATAAACACTGAATCTATCCACTTCGGTTGCCGCCACAGCAATTATTATAGCCGAGTACAATTTGAGTGTAAATAGTGATTCCGGATGAAATCGAATGTCAACATCCTGATATTTGCTAGGTAGCCCAATATATAAAATGAAATCCCTAATGTCTACTTCGGTTACTCAGCTAGGGCTTATTTCTCTTGTCAACACCTCAAATAACAAAAATGTGAAAAAATGAGAACACGCTTAAAGAAAAAATGGAAAAACGAAATGGTCCAATGGAAACTCGAGCAGCAGGGAGCAGGAAACCGAACACAAATATACCGTGGACTTTATGAATACAGCAATTTCGTGTTATTCTTTGAACAGTTGTGTGGACTACTCAGTGCCATGCATTAGGAAAGGTGAAATTCAGCAACCAGATCGAACATTTGGTTCCATTTAGTTGACCAAACAATCAGGTATTTGCCAGGACGTTTACGTTGGCAGATTTTGTCGAGATACCGAGAGGATTTAATATTTTGCTCTAGATAGTGCTTTTTCAGTCATATGAATTACGCCTTGCCATTTGTTGCATATGTTGCTACCTTTTCACCTGCTGAGTAAACCTTTCAAATCGAAAGGACTGAATTTGTCTTATGCGTTATGTTGTGCTGTGTTTATTCCAATGGTTCAATAGGCATCAGCGTAAGTGCAACATTATCACGTACGAATAGAAGTTGGTTAGTTGCTTTACTGCAAGGTATTTTTAGCATTGCGCCATATCTGTGAGATCGCATTTATGTTGCATATTGAGAGAACAAAGGAAGTTTCTGTAATCTAACATCCATTATTGACGTTTATAACAACGCTTTTTGGTAATCTGCGATCAAGTGGGTATTTCTCTATAACACACCTACCTAGGAGAGTACTAAGTATGAACCTATTATCGCGCTGATTTTACATTTGATCTTGATGCCCGCCTAGACGAATAAAACCACGAATAAAAACGACACCTTATCGTACCACGATCAGGTAATTTAATTCAGCTTTAAAAAACAGCATGGACACTGTAAAATCGATTTCACATCGGCAGTAGTACTTTTCCGTAATCAACACTCAAGTCAGATGACATCACCCGTGGGTTCACAAGTAACTATACGATGTGCCAAAGCAAAAACGCAGTGACGGTTTGTCCAGACAAACATGTTAGGAAACTTGTCCTAACGGGTTGATACCGCGTCGGCAGCGAACACCTGGTAGCTACATGGGGTCTCACATGTGGTGGAAGATTTGCACACGATTTTAACGGATCGTTTGGAGTGCAGTGGTCACGCGGTGATGCCAAACCACCCCAAGCACTGCGATCAGTTATGGAACTGATCTAGCTAAAAGTGTGTAGTACACAAGGTGACTCGGTCAGCTTTAGCTGTGGATTGTACACAGTACCGAAAGTTTCATTGTATACTTTCCGCAATGTCTCTAATAAGGCTTCCTATGATTCAAATAGGTTGTGACAAGCCAAATATAATATTCAATTCCCGTGTGTGCACTTGACTTTAAAATTGAAATCGTGCACTGTAAGTGTTAGGATTCAGCAGTTCATATTAAAAACATATTAAGAATACGAAGGGTTGAAATGTACCTTGGAGAAAGCCATGTCGGAAACTGGTCGCTTGGTCTGAATATTTTCTAACTGTTTCAAGCACCACTCCAGTTCATCCAGTGTTTCATTGGCGATGGTTTTGTAATCTGTGGCTATGCATAGATCAAAAAATAAAAGTCAAATAGTATTTCGATTAAAATTTTACAGGGAAAATGAGAAAATGGTCCTATTTTTGGTGAAGTGTGGGTAATAGATTAGTAGCATACTGTTCATCCTAGTTATTGGCGGTACTCTCCTCAAATACTTTGTCGGTAAATAAGCCACATTACTCTCACCTGGTTCTGAACTTTTCAGTTATAAGTGGATACGCATGGAACATATTACTGTCTTGAGTAGACACGGACCAAGTCAAATTTGATACCTCCAGGTAAACTGTCACACAAATGAGTTCAAATTAGATCGCATACCTTCGGTTAGGAGGTAAAGATTAACAACAGGATCGACGGATAATTCGGAGTAAGGTTTTCGTGCTTTTGTGCGATACCCACAGATAAACTTTATTTAATATGTTTGAAAAGACATGCCACTAATTTTCAGGAATAAAATATTTGCCAGCTTGTTTCCTTTTGTCTGAGTATTAGTTTGCGAAGACAAATAGTATCAACGTAGAACTTGATTGCTTGCAAATGAAACATACCAAAATGAACATTCGTGGGTGTGAGGTACGAGTACAAGAAAACCGCTCACATACTCCCAGGCAATGATATGATGAATTTACTCACGGTGATTTGATGCATAGTATTTCATATTAAATGATGAATACTTTTATCAGTACCGAAAGAAATAAAAACAACCCGTTTTTAGAAAAGGTAAGCAGTGTGTGACTATTTATGTATCAATGAGTTTGAGATAACCGACGACACATAATGATTTGACACACTAAATGCCGACATATAATCATTACTAAACGGAGGTACTTCGTAAAGTTTACATCGAGTGTGTTTGTAATTAAAATACTCAGTGTGTTTGCAGGGTGAAATGTCACTTAACTCAAGGTTTCTTATGCTTTTTCGTTTGCTAGTTTCCTAATCATTGCTATCTTCTCTTGAGTCAGTTCTTAAAAGTCTCCATGAATGACATTTCAATTCCTACAAACAGTTGCAAAAGGGCTAAAACAAGTGGAATTAAATTCACGAGACTATCACTATGCGAGAGTTTCTTTGTTACTGCTATGTTTAATAACTGCGTACGTAGACGTTAAAAGGCACCTGGACAGCAACTAAATATTTCCGTTAAGTTATATCTGTTGACTGAATGTAAAAGGTTGCAAGAATATACACATTGTGCAAAACGAATGCAAGTTTATACAACACGTCTCAAGATTAACCGAAAAAAGTTTGGTTCGCTGCTCGCTTAGCAATTTGTTTGGTCTCACCAGCGAGACGGCATAAACAAATGCTTACGACTTAGTAGACGGTCAGCTAAACAAAATTTAGGCTGTTTACTTAATACGACTAACAAATTTGATCTATCCATCTGTGTATTCATCTACCTAGTCTTCGTTTACGTTAGTTTTAAATGCAACAATCAAGCGATCATTTTTGTGTTAAGATTCACGGAGCTCTATAGAGGCAACATCTACCTTCCGAATCCGATCCATCAAAAATGCAAACAGCAAGTGGGTGGGTCCTGGATAAAAATTCGCGGATATTTGTCTTTTATAGATTCAGTATCAAAATTCAACAGTACAGAGCTCAACTTGTATAACCGGTGGCATATCGGTAATGCTAACTTCACCGATGCTCTAGTTCTCCAGACAGATGTACATTTTAGACCAGCGTCAATCAACATTAACCCATTGCAGTCAGCTGATGAAAGTGTTCCACCTGTTGGCAAGCACGTGGTTAACTAAGAAAACGCCAATGGAGATAAGCAGAATTTGGGCTTAGTGTTTAAAAGCCGTTTGACGAGGAACAACTATTTAGTTAACAGACACTTATCGGATTAACGGTGATACAACACACCATCGAAATTGGTGCGATTCTTGTGGAGTGCGTACAGTAGCTGACTATCTACTTCGCATCCGGAGCGTTATCAAATGTGGTGTCAAATACATGCAAACAAGTTTGGTGCAAATTCACCTGGTTAACAGATGATAAAGCACCAATGTTTCAAGACACCAGCTTCAAGTTGTCGGCCAGGTACAATTCTTATTAAATTTATTAATCCTTCATGCAATAAGTTGTCATGTAATCCAAAACTAAACACAGATTTAGCGCTATGGGATTATCAAAACAAACATTTGGCTTAAAAGCGCGTTGGAATATTTCGACCTCAGACAATAGATAAACGAATGGTTTATTCTCAGCCATGCGAGGCACGCCTACCTAGATGTGATCATGGTGTTGTAGTTATGCACATTACAACGATTATAAGCCGAGCGGAATTATTGGAACCTATCCATATATAAACAAGTGAAGGGACATATAGGGTGAACAGTAATGGAATGGAAAGTTTCGTACTGAGCATATGTAATGAAGAAAGAATGTTGTACTAGCATTTACTGGCGAAGACAAACTGGCCACAAAATCTTTGTAGAACTTTTGTAATAAAGAGTGATATGTTTTTAATGGTTGTAATGATTTGGGACAAATTTAGTTGAGAATGAGGAGTTGCTGGCGTAAATTCAACCTACCGTCCGCCGGCCAAAACAAACTACCGCCAAGTACATCAGTTTCAATCGGGACGCGATTATTCAGTTCAAAACTCAAAAGCTGTATTCCCAAACCAAGTGATAATTGCATCTTGTTGGAAGCCGAATGCAACGCTGACTTTCGGTAGCTAACATATTGGGCCATTTGAAAATCGCGCAAAAGAAAGGTGTCGAAGCTCTTGTTATTCTTCTTAAAGTTTACATGATTGTATCTTTGAAAATCTAGCTTTTAACCACAGTAAGGTGAGCAAGCATATATTTGTTAACCATTTTTGTGACAGCCTTAAGGTGATCTGGAAAATGTCATCACTAATGAGGCATATATGCTACCACAAAAACAGATGGCAGTGATCATGCTACTGTAAGAAACGTACTAACAAAATACTTAAAACTGTCCAACTGCAAGAGAACTTCATGGTACAATTTGCTTTCACATACACCTATTAACCACAGGCGATTATACTTTGATCAATAAATATATACCTTTCCCACACACCTAGACTTGTCGGAATATCGATTACTTTTAGGTGGAATAAAGCTACCGAGTAGTTCTTCAAAGCGCGACGCGGTTGGTAACAATATTTATCCTAGACGAGTCCAAGAAAATCATCTCAAGATTCTATGCACCAATGCTGTTTCTGCCCATGTCCATTCATCTGTGCAAATCAGACTAAGGCCTGTCATCAGCATTTGAAATCGCCGACATATGTTTATTGCATAACATTGAGTCGTCGGAAATCCCCTAGGTATGTAAACTGTTCAGTGTGTATGACGATGCATACGCAGATAAAATCTTCACAAAATATTTTCTGAAAAATCAGCAAAACATCTACATCCTGAAAATGCCGAGTTACTGTCACGGCGCGTTCAATGTATCGAAACCATTTGAAGGCTATTCTAACTCAAACGCACACCATCTGGAGAACAGTTGCCTCTGTATCAAAGGACGAATACCGACGCCAAGTGAAATACAGTTGCACAGTGTTGGAACCAGTAAACTATAAGGAAACGTAATGCCCCCTATGTACCTGCATGGGATATCCTGCAGGTTAGCCTATATTTTTCCATTGTTTCACGTTACATCTACCGGTCTCACATTAAATCGCTGTGGTATTTTTGAATGCATATATGTGCCCAAACAAAAGGCAAACCAAATCTACCACACACACTGCAGTTATCCGTAGTGGTTGCTTTATTGAGTTAGCTTCAAGCAAGAGTCAACCACGAAATTTTCATCCAGAGACGGAATCAATAGTGATACTTCCAAGTGTATCGCACTCCCGAAATCGACGACTCTACATCGCAGACCGGAGGATGTACTTGTAAATGCGAGGGTTATAAAAGATTAGGGAGGGTGGGAGTAGCACAAAAGTTTATCAACATGGATTTCAATTCCGTAATGATCTACCAAACAAGATTCATTTGGGGACATCGAATGTAAAGTGCATTTTGTGCAACATTTCTTAATGTTATCAAACCGAATAAGACCCTTCTGTCACAAAAAGTAAAATGAGTGTATTCATAACATCCCACGGAACACGGAGGTCTGCGGTCGACCACAAGTTTTATGGTTGCAATTTCAGCCATAGAACTTGCCTCGATAATCGATCAAAATGCGTCTGACACCATAAAGTTCGAATGGTGCTCAATGACAAAGCTCAACTAAAAAACTGCTCGAATTTGGTTTCATCGGGATGTAACACCGCCGGATACACAAGCCGTCACCCAAAAGCAGCTGGGTCATAAGATTATGGAAATGTGATTAAATGTGAAGAAAGGGGTTAACTGTATACAGAACACACAAGCAAACAAATATATGAACTAAAATTGAGACCAAAAATCTGGTCACAGACGTCCTTTGGTTTCAGTCATCGCTTAAGAACCACGAATTTCAGTTCTTGGCCGCTATCTGTTATTGCAACAGACTACAACAACAGACTACAAAAGCCTTGCAACCAATATGAAGAAAACATTTAAACAAACCAATGACTGAATCCGCATATTTAATTTTCACATCCTTGCTACTCTAACACTCACACTAGAACGCATGGCCGTTGGTTGCAATTTTTGGTTTCCATATATACTACCCTGATTTATTTCGCATCAGGTTCAGGACGATGGAAAAATAATTAAGGATTTAATTTGGATCATCGGCGGCGGACACATAACTTACAAAATTCCACCGGCTGAACTTTAAAGCTTAGATATTATGCGACTCTTTTGCCTGATTGTAAGTCTTTTGCCGAACACCCTGATTAAGACAATGAGTGTGTTATGAATAGCTACGTGTACACAACAACGCAATGTTTTAGAATCGCTCACTAATATTTCACTGAAATTGGGTGAGCAACGTGCATTTCCAAGGTCCTTAAGTTGATTGTGTGGATGCGATAAACGAAGGCATCCAATTAGAGGCACAAAAAGGGAACTGCTTTTTAG